CTGAGCCAAGGGAGGTTTGGAGGGGAAACACATTCTCCTCCTGCTGACTCCTTATTCTCTAGCCCGATGGGGTGAGCTCCTGCGCAGCCCACCCTCGTCATCAGCTGTAGATCTGAGATGAAAGACATGGGCTTTAAGAACACAGGCTACTTGGCCTGCTTTGGTTTGAAATCACTTGAGCCTCAGAGAAAAGTACCTACAACATGATCAGGTCCAGCTTTCTAGAGTTCTGTCTTGTAATCTTGGTCCCAGCTAACAGTAAAGGGGTTTTTTTGTTTGTTTGGCTTTTGTCTCTTTTTTACTTCCTTGTGCTTTTATCTTCCTCAACATCTCACAGGGAAGGTGTTCTGTATATAATCTATCATTTCTAACCATTACATAGTACTATACAATGATACAAGTGTGCCTACTTATACATACTGCCTGAGCTTAGTCTAGTATAGATTTAGCACCTGTTCACAGGCTTTTGAACAAGTCAGTGTGAAAGAGTTAAGAAAGCAGATATTATCTTTCAAAGATTTTAAACTTTTGAATACAAAGTTGTGTGGTTAAGGAAAAACACAATATCCTTGCCAGTAACAGGTGTCATAAATTCACAAATACAAATTAAGAAATCTTTAGGAACTAAGCACACTTACTAAAATAGTTTAGTTGTTATGTTGTTTTGTTTTGGATGGATTATATTGTTTTCAAAATTAACTTGCCTTTCTTCTTCCTGGAGTGATAATGATAATATAAATATGATTCTTTTCTACTCACAATGTACAATCCTACTTATCTCAAAATAATGCTAGTTTAATCTGCCAAGCTGCTCTACCTTTTAAAATACAGCACAGGCCTAACAAAATGACCAAAGACAAAAGGAACAGCAATCCCTTTCTAGAGTCATCCATTTCCAGGTGTTCTGAATTGGAGAGGTGGAGCTGAGACAAGATAGTTTACCCACAAGCCTGGGAGCCGAAGAATATGCCACGTTCTTAGATGTTCATAACCTAAAAAAGTATTCTAACCTAAAAAAGTTGTTGTTTCTAACCTAAAAAAGTATTCATGGATTATGGGCTTTCTGCATCTGAGAATCAGCATGTTAAGCAGACATGGGTATGAATCCTGACTCCACATTGTATCAGTAGCTGTCCATGCCTCCCTTCTCTACTTTAAAGAGTTTGCTATGAGGATTGATTATAATGTATGAAAGCTCCTAGTTTAGTACTTGACTCATAGTAGGCAGCATTTCATAAAAGTGAATAAAATTTCCCTTGCCCGTTTGAGGAGAGCCATAATTTTTACATGGGTCAACAGGTACCCAAGGTGCATTTTTGAGGCTGCAGCTCAGAAACTCACTACACCAGCCCCACAATGAACATGACAGAATGAGACTGGCCATAATATAAAATAAGAGACATGAACAACATGGAAGTCACTACTCTAGCTGCTTCAGTGCACGTCTCAGCACCTCATTTCCAACTCCTATCTTCATCCCACACATCTATGTCCATGGGATCCAAGTGATAATTTCTTCTCAAGAATTCGTACTGAAGTAGAATCAAAAGGAAATCGAAAAAAGTAGAATTCTTCAATACATTACATATAGTGGGAGCCAAATCAACTGCTTTTTTTTCCTTTGGTCGCACAGTATGTGGGATCTCAGTTCCCCAGCCAGGGATCATACCCGCGCCCCCTGCATTGGAAGTGCAGCGTCCCACAACTGCTCTTTTATATCTCAATTCCTGCCATCTGGCATAAGGAATAAGCTACACCGCTTTCTGTTTCCAAAAATTTCTATTATAGAGTTATAGAGCTGTAAACTATAATCTAAATGTTAAATATTTTAAATGTATAAATTTGATATCAAGTACCAGATAGTTAAATGGTCTAATTCCTTAAGTAGAAATATATTTGAACCTACAACAGCACATAATTTTTAGATATTATCAACCTTGCATGTAACTAACTTGTCATGAAGAAGCAATTTTAAACCACAAGTCATGAAGAAGCAATTAAGATGGAGTCTATTGCAATATTGTGGTATATAACAATGCACTTACCAAAAAACATGCAACATTTATCAACGTCAATGCTGTCCAAAAGCTCACACAGAAAAACACAGGGAAAAAATGGACAGGTTAAAGAGAACCTAGTTTAACGCTCACCTTAAATTTTTTAAAACTTAGAACTGGGCATATAAGGGAAGAAACATAATTATAGTAGAAAGAAGACTTTCCAAAGATGTGTAAAGATAAATGCTATTGTTTTCATCAGCTCAGAATGAAATTGTTTTCTCAACTAAACACATATTTTCGCAAATTAGGGAGGGCAAATTTACTGAAAACATTCCTTTTATTAATATACAAGACAGTCTGTTTTCTGGCATGATAGAGGAATGCACTATTCTGATTTATCTAATATCCATGTTTATAGAGAATTAGCAGTCAAACAATTAGACTAGAAACAATACCTAAATTGAGCTGAAAATAATTTGATATTTGATGATTCACAATCTTTCAGTGGCTCAGAGTTATGATCATGAATATCAATTATCCCTGTACTAAGGCTGTTTGGAACAGCATTTAATAGTTTGATTAATATAAAATGTACTAGAGCCTTTCTTTTTTGTGTATGTTTCAGTGCCAAATAAAAAGAACTCTTGGCAAAACTATGAAGAATGCAATCTTTTCTCAATACAGAACATGTGCTACTTATTTCTTATATGATCTAGACCTTTTTTAGAAATTTTCATTTTTACTATGCTAAAGTGAACAAACCATGGGGCAGCAGATTCAAGATGTCAACAGAAAGGTCCTTGATCTCAGAGAGGGAGTGGCACAGAGTCCACCAACTGCCTCTTTCCCCACTGTAAGATAATGAAGGGCTCTGGGAATAGACCCCAAGGACTGCTACCCACCAATGACCTACCAGGTTATCCTTGAAGATTAACAGACCCACCACAATGACCTTAGACAACCCTCTAGACATCAAAATGTTTGGAGCAAATCTGAAGATATGAGGCCTGTAAACTCTAGAGAAACTTTATTACATAAGTCAGCAGCATCAGTAGTTCACCACAGATAAGTACAGATACATATGCTTATATATACATGGAATATTACTGGAAGGATACACAAGAAAGTGTTAACAGCTATGGGGGTGGACCATGTAAGTGGGAATGTGGAGTGGATGGGAGTTTTCCCTTCAAACTCCTTTGCAACATTTGTTTCTATCATATGCATATATTACTTTTTCAATAAGAGTTAAAGATAATAATAATAATTCACTTCATTTTCTGGTATCTTTAATTTTAAAGGTCATTTATTAAATATTTATTTTACTATTAAATAGGGAAAGAATCAAGCTGCTACTCTGTTGTCTCCCTCCTTTTTTGTCACAAAAAGAAACTTCAAAACAACAGAGGCATCATTACTTAGCAAGGACTCTTCTGAGAATATCAATCAGCACATAACTAAAAGTTAAAAATTGCAAGCTTAGCTGCAAGAATTTGTATATTCCTTTATGCTCTGTTACTTTCATTTTTTACAACACAACAAAAAAGCCCACTGCTTTTTATGATGGTATATTTTAAACTATCTTGAGGCTCTTGTTTTCACACAACACGTGTAGTGTCTATATTTTAGATTCCAAAATGTGTGCTATCTAATTGTGATTTTTTTTAAGATTCAAAACAATATGCTTTCTGACCTGTGGGTTAAAAGGAAAAAAAGTGATCATTTCCTTTTTATCCAAATTCACACCCAGAATAGAACACTTCTTTTCACATAATCTGAAAGTCACAAAATAACAGAAACTACTACAAGTCATTTGTAACTACCACCCACTCTTCTTTTAATATAGAAATCTCCCTGTGTGGCTTTAAACTTCCATGTGTCAGTACTGGGGAAAAGCCTAGACTATACTTGGAGCTGGCTGGATGGACTAAGGGAGCAGTCTACCCACACCGGCACTAGGAGCTCCAGTTTAGAGCCTGAGAAAGAGACACGTATTATGTGGTGTATACACAGCTTAAACTTGAGCAAGGGTTTTTAATGTATTAACACAAGCACATTGAATAGTAAGTAGTTCCAAGTCCATCCTTCATTATCATCTTTGGCTTACTTTTACATGGAAGTAGTTTCATACTGACTGTTCTACCAAGATCGGTTTTAACGTCACGTACCGAAGATTACCCACATGCATTTACGCTAAAAGGCCCTTTTCCAAAGCCTGTGGAAGGGTTCTGACTTCCAGGGGACCTTATCCCGATGTCATGAAATCTCAAACAGGAAACAAGCCCCAAGTGGAAGGAAGATGGATGGAGAGAAACCCTGACTGGTAGTTGAGGGGTCGAGAAGCGTTTTCCCTGCATGTGGTGGTAACCACAAGGACCCGGGGTGCTGCTTGGTGGATTGGTTGCTTTTCGGTTGCGCTCTCTGCAGCGCGGAAACTCTGGGCTCCAACATCGCTCTTTACTTTGCTGCAGGGGCCACTGAAAACTCTGCCTGCCTACGGGGAAAGCTCACGCTTCGTGAGATCTCAGGACAGTTTGAGTCTCGAGGGTTTGGGGTTTTTTGTTTTGTTTTGTTTTGCTTCACTTGAGGGTAAACTGTGCATTTCCTTTACTGTGCGGCAAAAGCTAACTTCTCGTTGGAGAGCAGTGCACAACCATCCCGCGGGTCTGCATTTATACTGAGTCCTCCCTTCCTCCGCATATCAACGGCTTAGCGAAACTTTCAGAGAAGATGAGGAAAAGCATCCATCAAAACGCAAAGACGCAGAACGGAACTTTTCCTCCTCTGTCAAGAAAAAAAAAGTCACTTCTGCTTCTCACAGCCAAGAACTGAGTCTGGGAACCTCCGGACAAGGAAGGAAGGTTCGGTAATGAAGGGGATGGGAGAAAACAATGCTAAGCCTGCGTGGCCTCCGGACACCATACATCCTGCCCCGGCCCGTGACCCATCCACGGTCCACCATCCACACCCACGCTCCCGGGGCCGCGCGGCCTCGCTTACCTTGATGATGCTGCTGCGCCGGGGGGTCGCCCGCGCAGCCTCCAGGAGGCCGGCCTCGCTGTCCGCCGGGGCCCCGGCAGCGCTGGGCAGCGCGACCCCGCTGCGACGGTCCCTCCACTGGCCCCCAGGGGCCGCCGCCACGCCGTCTCCGGAGGCGGCGTCCGGGCCCACTCGGGGGTCGTCTTCGCTCCCGGCCGCGTCTGTCGGCGCTGGACCCTCCCTGCTGGCTGCGCCCTCGGCCATAGCCGAGCGCGTTTCGGGCTCCCCGGGAGGAGGCGGCACGCCCGGCAGCGGAGTCCAGCCGCTGGGCACGGGTGCGCTCATGCACCGGGAGGCGACCGCGCCAGACTTTGTTTCACCGCCCGGTGGCTGCGGCGGTGGCGGCAACTTTCTGGAGAGGAGACATCGCTCGAGTAGAGACGTCCGCGGGCTTTGATCCAGGAGGCCGGCAGTCCTTGGGGGGACCGCGGCGGGAGTGAGATGTGAGCGGCAGGGAGAAGGAGAGGCGAAAAGGAGGGGGAGGTGTCCGAAACGTGATGCAAACGCCCGCTCTGCGCCAGACAAAAGGCATCGGACGCCTGGCCGGGCTGCCTCTGAGGCCGGGACGCGCGCGGCCTGAGAGGGGCTGGAGCCCGGCGACCGCTGCCCGGCGCACCAACCACCTGCCCGCGGATGGCGGCGCAGTGGCCCCAGGAAGTGCGGCGGCTGCGGCGGCGGCGGCGGCGGCGGCGGCGGCGGCGGCGGCGACCTCCACTCCGGTCTGTTGTGACAGGGAGGGAAGGACTTGTTTTGACAGCCCGTGGGGATTGGCAGGCGTCTGGGCCTCTTAGGAGCCTCGCCTCGCCGAGGGGGGGGGTCGGCCCGACCAATCCCCACTAGGGAGGGGTGTGCCCAAGCGCGAAGAATGGAATGTGTTCTCTAACCGGGAGCCGACCCAGACGGGCTTGTGTACTCGAGTGGGGTGTGAGAGCGCGCGTGTGCGCACCCGGAGGCGCTCCGTGTGTATTTTGGGAAGTTTAGATGTTCGAAACGAACCTGAAGTTGCAACAAAATCCGGGGATGGGACAGAGGCGGGGGAAAGGAAACCTTCGTTTGCAAAGCAAAGCAATTTGGAGGAAATGGGGTGTTGAGTATTAAGGTCAAAGCCTTTGGGGTGACGCGGAGTGCAGCTTCGCACCATCAGGGGTTAATTGCAGGCTCTCACCTTTAGAAGTTAAGTCCATGCAGAGATAAATTAGGGTTTACTGGGACCCTGTTGTTGGATAATTTGCTTCAGTTTCCGTGTAAACATCTTCAGTTCACTCTGCAATGTGAATAAATATGACAAGGAAATGGAATCAGATAAAAAGAGGTGAGGGTAATAGGAAGCCAAACCAACTAAATCCTCTGGTGAGTGGCTCCTCACAAAGCGTAGATATGATGCATGTTGGCTAAGCACAAGGTGAGGTAGGGGATTTAATCTCTATCCTAAAATATCCCTATTTGATAATGAATGGTTCAACCTCCTTTCTCTAGATAATCCTATATAAACATATTTTGCCTCATTTCCAGCAAGTTAGCAAGAGGAGCGATATCCTTGAATGATGCATTAAGGCAGTGAAATTAACCACAGAATGTTCAGATAGGTGAAAAAAGGATGGCTCTGAGGTTCCCTAGTAGGACAGAAGATTTGACATTTTAATTTAAAGGCTTTTTAATATTAGGATCTCTGTTAAACCTTATTTATAACATTAAATTATATTTTAATTATTAATAATTTTATAATTTGAGATGTTACTTGTTCCTTTGACTAAGAACATGAGAAATTCTTCAGCCTTTTAGACCCAGAATTTGTTAGAATGTCAGAATTTTAGAGATGCAAGGGGATTTAGGGATCATCTAGCGCAACCCTTTTATTTTACAGATGAGAAGAAGGCCCACAGAGCTTTAGTTTCTTGTCTACTAGTTAGTGCAAGAGGTGAAATTAGAATCTGCCACTTAACTCCTCAGGTAATCTCTTCACTACTTTATCTGGCTCCTCTGGGGCTGCAAGCAGCCAGAACTAGATGAGGCCCTTGGGAGTTTTCAGACTTGACATTTACCAACTTTTAGGGAAGACTGAGAAGGCTTGATTTTACCTTTTCTTTAAATATAAATGCAGCCTGGTAATGAATGTACCAGATTAGCAATCTCTGGTTTTAGAACCAACACCACCCTCTAGTGAGATTCTGAGAACTGCATCCATAATAGCAAATGCTTTTTTCTTTCTTTCTCATATGTAAAAGACAGGAGAGGAAACTCAGTTAGTTTCCTTTCAACTGATCTGCCCTTATAACCCACAGACAAGAGGAAGTAGAAGGTCACCCAGACTTACAACAACCATACATGTCCTTCATCTTCAGAAATATTTTTACTTGCTATACTCACAAATATAACCTATTTTAACCTACCACTTTTTTCTTTGGTATTCAAGTATTACTATGTTTTATTTCTGTCTTCTACAGTTGCTTTCAGAGCTGTATTTTTCTGTGTTACCCTCATAAAAATTGCATTCTTGGGTTGTCCTCTGAAAAATGTAAAACTGTGGTTATCTCACTCATCATCTTGTTCTATGATATTAATGTCATTTACAGGGATTTCCCATGTAAATGGTTTGTGTATACCATCCTGATATTATTTTTTAATATTAAAATTAGTGTCACCAGGGGCTTCCCTGGTGGCGCAGTGGTTGAGAGTCCACCTGCCAATGCAGGGAACACGGATTCGTGCCCCGGTCCGGGAAGATCCCACATGCCACGGAGCGGCTAGGCCTGTGAGCCATGGCCACTGAGCCTGCGTGTCCGGAGCCTGTGCTCCACAACGGGAGAGGCCACAACAGTGAGAGGCCCGCGTACCACAAAAAAAAAAAAGAAAAATTAGTGTCACCTTACTAACATTTACAGTCAGTGATATTCAAAAAAATAAACCAGAAAGTATAGCATGCAGTGTATAAAATTTTTTTTGTGTTTCAACTAGATGATGGCCAATTGAAATCTTCTCTTATCTCTTTTCTCCCTTAGCAGCCTTCTCTCTCACCCTCATGTGAAGGCAAACACACACACACACACACACACACACATCTTTGCTCTGAGCATCTGTTCAGACTGTTGTCTAATTCATTCTGCCTTGAGAATATAGTTGGACCCTGATATATCAAGTCTTTCATACTGTTGTCCTCTAGCATAAGCTCAGAAGGCTTCTCTTGATATTCATGTTTGCAGTTTAAAAATAAAGAACCCTCCATTGAACCTGCTCCTACCCATACACAGATTCTACTCTGTGGCCCCACTCCCAAGACTGAGAGCAAGGTGTAGCCAGACTCGGTCAGATCAGCAGCCATATAAACACTCCTACCCTCCATTTAAAAAAAAAACCCTTTCCAAGTTACTATGACCCACAACTCCTGTCTCCCAATCATTCACCAAGTAATGTGACAACCACTTCATGGGCAAATTGGAAGTTGGGGGAATGGGAGGGAGAGGGAGAAGGGATGTGAGTAAGAATCATAAATTGTCAATTCAAATGTCACCACCTCAGAGAGGTCTTCTCTGACCCCAAGTCTCAAGTTGCCCCTTCAACCTCACACACATACCATGTTACTCATATTATTCTGTTTTCTCATAGGATTTTATCACTGTAAATAAACTGTCCTGTCCATGGAATTGTTTACTTATATAGTCTTTCACGCTGACCTCCTATCTCTGCCCCACTGAAATGGAGAATGTAATCTCCATGTGCATAAAAATCTTGCCTATTTTGTTCAGTGCTGTACCTCCAGCTCCCAAAACCATGCCTGGCAGAGTAGGTGCTCAATAAATATTTGTGGACAGAATCTTTACATTTGCAGTCCTCTAGCTGAATAAAACAACCACTTCTGATAAAGAAAAAGGGCTCTGTCACTGAGGACTTCTTATTGTCAAGGATCCTGGAATTCCATCCTAGGGCAAAACTCAGAGCAGACCCAAAGCAAGTAGTTGCAAAATTAGAAGGATGCTTATAAATTGGAGTAACATGAAATCTAGAATTGGACTGAAAAACAACTGATGGGAACCTAGCCAGCTGCAGCAAACCTGAAAATACCTAGCCCAGAACTGAAGGCTTGGTATGTCAATGTAGTCCTTCCAGCTCAGGTTAGTCACTTCAGAACCCTGGGCCTAAGAAAAATCCAGTGAGAATAGTAAGACTTTCCATACATTACCAGGAAATCACAGTTGGGAAGAGAACTTATCACTGCTTTCTATGTACCAGGTAATCCTCTATGAAGAATTCTTTACAGATAAGGAAACATAGGATCAAAAGGGTCAATTCACTTGCTCAAGTGACAAAACCAGGATTTGAGTCCCAGATGATGACTTTGAAGCTTGTGGCTCTTTGTACTACACAAGGCTCTCATAGGGTACAAGTCCCGGGATGGTCCTGGAGACTTCAGTTATTCTGAAGAACCACTCCTTCAAATCTGGGACCACTCACATTAGGCACAACTACCTCTTCTCTTAACACCAGCATTACCTCTGTTTCATCATGATGGAGTATAAGGCTGACTGATTTATCAGTGTGTGAGGAAACACATTTATCCTGTGATCCACATATATGTAAGAAAGAATATTTTGATATTAAGAGCCAATTCAAAGATGCATTTAATATGAGTACAGCATTTTCAAATGAGCCACATATATCTTTATATTCAGTCACCGAGCTCCCCAATATACATTGTAGTCATTTTGATTTGCTAGTTCAAGAAAAAGCAATTTGCAGGGTAATTTATAGTATAAGTATTATAGTAGAGCAAATATATGCTAAGTCGATGAAAGATGAGCAAAACTTAATACAACCTCTTAAAATTCAAGATTACCTTTTCTCAACAGGTATTCCTTCATCCCTTCTATTTCAGTAACTAAAACATAAAAATCAACTACTTTCATTTCTAAGTAGGACACTCCACTTCTTGATAACAGTCCTACAAAAATGAGAAGTTACAGGGAATTCCCTGGTGGCTTACTGTTTAGGATTCCGGGCTTTCACTGCTGTGGCCCAGATTCAATCCCTGGTTAGGGAACTGAGATCCCACAAGCCACGCAGCACAGCCAAAAAAAAAAAATGAGAAGCTACTAATTGTTTAGGATAGATCTAGGTTCATCAGTTTAATAAATCTTCCAAGTACTGAAAGACAATAAATATTTAAGAAATCTCTAATTACAGACAATGTTCTTCAATGTCTGATGGCTGCTGCAAACCTGTACTACCTGCATGAGAACAGAATGCCCAGGTGTTTGTCCATTACCACTGCCCCTCAGGAATCACCCCACATAGACCCTGAGGCTAAAATATACTATCAGGAGCCCTAGGCCAGTCATCTGGGAACAGTCTGTATGTTCAGGGCAAAGGTCTTTTAAAAATAGAGTCAGTGTTGAATTATTTTCTATGTGTTAATTTACTTTGACACAGATCCTGGAGTTGGAGCTCAGGTCGTGGTTACGTTCCCTACAGATGCAGAAGCCACAAAGGCATTTATGAAAAGTACCACTAGAATGGCACTAATGATACCCCTATGAAAACTTGTTTCTCTTCTTTATTTATTTTATTTAACAACTTGAGTTGTTTCCAGGTATGGTTTTATAATATAAACCTCTTCAAATCAAACATACACCCAATGCCTGACACTTGCGATACAGGAGTGAATATGGGGTAGGTTCCTCCTCCTCCTCTTCCCCCACCCCAGGTACAAAC